CTTCCTTCTTTCTTTCCTCTGGATTTTTTAAGGACTGGGTCTCCTTATCTCACCCAGTTTAGAAATTCAGGGGCTACTCATGGACCCAACCTCACTGCTGGTAGACATGGAAGCTTTGACCTACTCTACTGAGACAGTTTACCCCTCTTAGGTGACCTGATGTCAAGGCTAGCCCACTATCCACTATACTGAGTTGACTTTCTGCTTCGGTGATAACCACTTTGTAAAAAGTTTTAAAGTCTAGAAGTGCAAAATTTTTATCAGCTGTCAACCCCCTTCCCATCCCGGGACCCCCCCCTCCCCAGGTCCCTGGAGAGTCTTGGTCATTTGTTTTCTCATGTGTTTTGTTAAGATTTTATCCAATTTTTTGAAGAAACTTTTGGAGAAATGTCTTATCTTCTCTCAGCCTATTTTCTCACCTATAAAATGAGGGAGTTGGGTATGGCTTCTGATGTCCTTTCCAGCTCTGCACTGGTTTCCTATTACCTCTAGGATCAAATATAAAATCCTCTGTTGAGCTTTTAAAACCCTTCACAGTCTGGCCCCTTTTTACTTGTGGGAGAAGTTCGCAATGACCTCCCCTTTATGAGGAATTTGCAAGAGACCAGTCAAAGGGTTGTCCTGGTCACAGGGAGGCCCAGAGTGGAAGTTAGAGACCTGAATTGCTAGTGGTCTTAGCTGACCTCTTTCTTCAGGCTCTCTTTAGCCAGGCTCTTCTTTCCCACTGTGGGAATGGAGAAAGCAGATGGGGAACGGGGAGAGCGACCTCCTCAGAAGTGTGCACCTGCCTTAGTGGCATCCAGTGTTGGCATCTTCAACAATTAAAAAAAAACACACACAGAGGCTTTTGCATTACTGTAGGTATCATTTTTATAAAGTCCAAACAAAGCGTTGTCCTACATCATGGCATATTTACAGAAAAATTGGCTTCACACTTTTTTTTTTTAAGGTATAAACTCATACATTCAATTCTGGCCAAGAAAAAAAAAAAGCCCCAAACCGAAACTTGAAACAAACCCCAAACAAATCAAATTCAGCCCAAACAATCAGACAACTTAACAGCAGAATTCCGTGCTCTGGCCCCTGTCTGATCAATCCTCTTCCCAATAACAATATATAAATAACTTCATCTTTCAACAATGAAAAAAAACATAAGAATCACCAACTGTTGCAAATGTCAGTGGTTTAGACTAGTCTTCAGGGTGAGATGGTTTCTGACTGATGGAAGGCTGAGGTCAACACCCACCCACAGATGCTTGGAGTCCTCGACTGTCCATCTGACAACCTCACGCTTTGGCATCCGTGACTCAGAAATGGCAGAAGCCTTCTTGGTCCTTCTCAGTCAGCACCTGTTCCAAACCTCAGAGCATCTTAGAACAAAGTTTAGCTACTAAAGTGACTTTTCTCTTGCTCGTGGGCAGAGTGCAAAGTGGCCGAGCCTGCTGGCCAGTGGTGGGAGAAAGCTCGTGGGTTTGGCTGTGGGGTAGCTTCCAGAGGGGCCAACTCACCTGGCATTTCATGATGCCAGTTTGCACAGTGTGTGGATTGTAATGCACTAGTTAATAATTCCCTGTTTACCGGAAAACAACACACTGCAGAAAAGATTGTCCTGGCAAAGGTGAACATAATGACATAGAACAGAGCAGCACCCAGATCCTTTATCTAATAATTACCACCCCTCCCAGCTTCCCCCCACCCCCAATCTAATATCATCATTCCGTGGAGGTCCTAGAAGACCTCCTCATTATCTGAAGGCATTCTCTGTGCCAAAGAGAAAATAATTGCCCTTATACATGGCTAGAAAGGAGGGAATGGGAAGATGAAAAGGAAGTTTTTCTTCTGAAATGTGAGCAATCTACCCTGGATATGGGCCTATGAGGCCTGGCCCTGCCCTCCCCCCACCCCGCAGCACCCCCTTCCACCTCTCTCCACATTTTCTGAAGCCTGATACATAACAGCCCTGCTGACACACAGAGTCTTCACAGCTTTTGCCCCTTCTGGTAACAAACAAAAAGTTCCCTGTCAATCTGCATTAAAAAACAAAGAAACAAAGAAACAACCCAACAAGCCATTATGGAAGGTGGAAAGCTCAGGATCGTTGAAGGAAAGACAAAGCAGGAGAGTCAAGGTCCAGAAATCTGCTGAGATAGGGAAAATGAGACTGAAAAATATGTTGGGTTTGCAGAAAAAGACTGATTTTGAAAAATGAAAATTACAGACCTGCAGTTTCGGTAATAATGGCTAAGGAGGGGCCGTGAGCGCCACCACCAGGGAGATGCATGCACTAACAAAGGGGTATTGAGATTAAGTACTAATTACAGAGAGAATTCCAGAAGAATCACACAGAACATTCAGCGACACTGGAGGGATAGAAAACATCTACAGTCATAACTATTGGACATATTTCTTTAAAGTCTTTTCAGATTGGGCCAACTATTTTCATAAAACCTGGGGATTTGAGAGAAGTGGTAGACAGCCAGGCATTCCATTTAGCTGAAAAGATCTTAGGGAAAAAGCAGGACAAGGCCTGTAGAAAAAAGGAAAGGAAGCCTCCCTCCCCCCACCCTACTCCGAGTGGTTCTGAGTCATCCCAGAAGCCAGTGAAAGAAGTGAGGATGAATGGGAAAAAAAAACAAAAAAACAACTGATCCAGGTCAGGGAGGTGGCTGTGGACTGGAGTTTGGAGCATACCCTCTTAGGAGGAGACCCAGGAGGACTCGGGGGAGGGAAGGAAGATTTTTTGGCCTTTACGTGCAGCTTTTGGCATGGGGGACTATGGGTCTTGAGAGCACCAATAATTCCCTAAGCCACATGTGGGAGGAATAGATCAAAGGGGGTGTCTGGGAGCCCTTGCAGGTACCCCCCAACTAGCCTCTCATTATTCCCTACAGCCTTTCCCTCACATGGCTATTTCCTTTCTCAATTGATTAGAGCATTCAACAGGTACTTCGATTCAACTTTAGTAAATTCTCACCTTATACCGTTCTATAGGGCAAATTTATTTGCTTATACTTGGGAAGAATTCTGCTCAGCGCCCCAGGAAGAGAGTGAACACGGATCAATGAAAGCCCACAAGACAACTGATAAACTGTCCCTGTATCTGTCTGTGTATGAGTGTTCATAAACAAATGTGACTCCATTTATAGCCTAACCCTAAAATTCGAATGCTTTACAAATTCAGGTAGCAAAACTGTCTGCTCTGAGAGACTGAATTTTGGTTAGGGTCACATCAGGGTATATACCATGGAAGGAATGAGGTGGTTGGAGTCATTGGAAGCCGGAGGGTACTGCCGCCACCACCACTATGATGACCAAAAATATATCGGAGTGGCATAGGATCATTAAAATATATCAGAGAGTTGAGCTGGATAGAAAACAGACACCAATAGTTGGGTCAAGGGCAATGTGGGGATGCCTGTGTTTGGCCCACGACAGCAGAGGAGCGATATCGGTTTGCCAAATATAGCCGGGAGATTGGAGGACCGTCTGACTTGCCATATTGGGGCATCTCCCATGGAGCTGGGTGTGCCCTCTAATTCCTTGCTGAGGGTCTGTGAGCCTAATTGGGATAAAAAAAAAAAGCAATTCCTGATCATTCTCCAAGGCAGGAAATCAGGAAATCAACAAGTCTGCCATCAGTCTCTGCTTCACTAGCTCAGGGCTGTTTTCCCCCTCCTGGGAAGGTTTCCTGTAAATTACACGTGATTTTCTACGATGATCATGAGAGCTGAAGTCTTCCTCTCCTAGACGCAGGGGCACACACTTTCCCCACTCCCTAGTACCACGAGGCTTGTTCCAGGTAGGACAGCAGATTGAGATCTATAGTCCATCTGCCCCCTCCAGACACAGGGCACAAGAATGAGGATGGGATGCCTTCCTATCGGATGAGCTTCCCCCCTCTTCATTCCCCCACTCTTCAGTAACAGGTGAGTGGGTGCAAGGGTAGACTATGCCCTGACATTGCTGGGTGGTAGTGACGAGTACAATGACTAGCGGTCAGCCTCTCCTAAGGGGAAACACTGAAAGGCCCCCAGGGTAAACCTGGTCTAGCCTCAAGTATGAGCAGGGTCATTGGCCTCATTGCTAATGGTCATCCTGGAAGAGCTTTGGTGCCAGGGTAATGAAAGGTCCAGTTGCTGTCCAAATCACCTCTCCTTTCCCCCCCGCAGTGAGCTGGAGGGCAACCAGCCTCACTGGGCAGGTGATCCCAACAGCGAGTAGTACTCTGTTCTCTCTCCCTCCGTCAACACCTGCGCCTGGCTCACCTTCCCAGAGCAGGCCCTATCCCATGCAGCCCTGTCCTCCTTCTCAGGAACACCTTTGGTGAGAAATCATAACAGAGGATGGGACATCATTGATACTTGGGGTGAGGAGAAGGGGTGTTCCCAAGGGCAATGATCAGCCCCCATTGATTTGATCCCAGAGGTTTCACCAAACAGCCAGGCCCTGGCTACCATGTCACTAGTGACAGGCCAAATTCAGGCCAATATCCTTGAATGGTTCCACTAATAACTGGGAGGCCTTTGTTGTTGTTTTGAATCCTGACCAGATGGAGTGATTCCAGTCAATCTGGGAATCTGGAGTTTCCCAGAAGTCCAGGCAGACTCAGTGTCCAGGGAAAAGGGATGGGAGTGGGGTGAGGGGAGGGGAGTAAAATGTCCAAAGTAAAACCAAAGGTAAGAGATGGATGGAGGAGGCAGCCTGAGCAGGCCAAGGGGCAGGCAGGCTCAGCTCTCAGCCTTCTGGGCAGCCGACAGTCTTTGCACAAGATTGGTCTCCTTCCTTTCTGAGTCTGTTATCCCTGGGTCATGGGAATTGGGATAAGTTTCTGCAACACAAGGACACGAAAGATCTAGTAAATGAGAGCTGTTCTTGTTACTGTTATTATTATCATAAGGACCATTATTTTTATTATTATGTGGGTGGGTGGTGGGTAAGGGAAACCTGAAAGGCTTTTCTAAAGGCCCAGAAGATTTTGCATTGGGGGTGTGGAAGGCACCAGCTAGAGGGCCACTCAGCTTCAACAATCAATCAACCAGCAAGCATTTATTAAGCACCTATGGTGTGCCAGACACTGGTGATACCAACACAGGAAATTAAGCTGTCCCTACTCTCCAGGAGCTGACATTCTCTTGGCAAGGGGAATGTATATGGAGTGATCTTCCCAGCAGGTGATAAATCCTTAGTCCTTGGAGGGATCATTTTGGGCAAAGGATAAATGTAAAGCAGCAGGAGTCCTTAGCCTGGAGTCATCTGATGCACTAAGTGATTCTCCAAAAGAGTTCAGGGGGCTCACGAATTTGGATGGGAAATAAAAACCAATTTATTTTAATATGATGGGTTTCCTTTGGAAATCTATGTATTTTGCTTTATACCTACAAAACCATTACTCTGAGAAGGGGTCTGCAGGCCTCACTAGACTTACAAAGAGGTCTGTAACACACACACACACACACACACACACACACACACACACGCACACAGGTTAAGAGCTCCCAGTATAAAGGATCCTCCATTACTGAATGGCATTTGGAGAGTTCGACCATCAAAGCTGCTGGCTGGGAAGGCTCAGTGTTTCCTCACTGCTGGGTGACAGGTGGACCCTCAGGTGGGAGGGTGAATATGGGAGGGACTCATCTCTGCAGGTTGTGTGGCATATAACCTCCAGCCAGTCCTTTGACTTCCAGCGATACTGGTTCCCTTGCCCGTGAACACGAGCATGAACAAGGGAATAAGCAGTTAAAATAGTACCTACTATGTGCCAGGCACTGTGCTAAACATTTTTTTTTACACATACCATCTCAGACACTCCGTCTCTCAGCTCAGGGCATTTCCCCTGTCTGTCCCCATGTGCTGTCCCTCTTCATTGCCACCTCGTGGCTTCCTAGAAGTCCTAACTCAAATTCCATCCTCTACAGGAAGCCTTTCCCAATGTCTCTGAATTCTAGTGCCTCACATCTCGTAATTTTTCCTACTTATCCTGTCTATAGCTCGCTTGCACTCATTCGTTGTCTTTTCCATTAGACTGTGAGTTCCCTGAGGGCAGGCGCTGTCTCTTGCCTCTATTTGTATCCCGAGGGCTTAGGCCAGTTCCTGGCACTTAATAAATGCTCCTTGACTAGGTGACTGGCCTTTCCGAGTGTCTACAAGCCAATTACCATACATTTATACCTGAATACATACTTACATGTTGTTTCCCTTGCTAGAATATAAACTCCTTGAAAGCAGGGACTTGTTTCACTCTTGCTTGTAATACAAAATGCCCAACACCACAGTAAAGCTGACCTTGGAAGATCCAGATTCAAATCCTGCTTCTAACATATCCTGGATTATGATCCCAGGCAAGTCATTGAACCTGAGTCCTCCAGTCAATTACTTCAGACCGTATGTGGCTAAAAGGTATGGCTCTGCAGTGGAGGAGGGAATTTCCTCATCTGGGAGTTCCCATGAAGCAAGAAAACGACAGGTTCCATTCCCAACCCCAGAACACAGAACACAGTAGGTGCTTAATAAATGTTTGTCAATTGATCTGTCAAACAAGGGGGTTAGATTAGATAATTACTGAGGCCCTTTTTAGTTCTAACTAAAACTAATTGAATTCTAGGATTCAACATAAAGACAGGACTAAATCTCCAATCTGTTTGCATTAGCTTAAAGAAATACTGCTTGACCCTGAAGTCAGGAGGACCTGAGTTCAAATCCAGCCTCAGACCAAACACTTGACACTTACTAGCTGTGTGACCCTGGGCAAGTCGCTTAACCCCAATTGCCTAAATAAATAAATTCTTAAAAAAAAAAAAGAAAAGAAAAAAAAGAAATACTGCTTGAAGTCAGGCAGTGGATTCAATCTGGTCATGTGGTATGTTCAAATTCAAGAAATATGTGTTAAGCACCTATTATATACAAGGCTTTGGGGATACAGGTTTTTTTTATGGTACTCTTTCCCTTCTTGAGTTTGTGTTTAACTGAAAAGTTCCTTCTGTCTTCTATTCTCCATGAAATGTGGTAGAACCATGGCAGCATTGATCTACAAATGAGCTCAAACTTCACAGCTTAAAGAGTGTGTGTGTGTTTGTGTGTATAACTATAACTATACAGATGTGCATATATATGTGTGTGTGCATGTAATTATAACCATATATGTATATATGTGTATATGTGTAGTTATAACCATATGTGCAAATGTGCATGTAATTATAACCATATATGTATATGTGTGCATGCACACATGTGTAATTATAACCATCAATATGTATATGTATGTGTGCATGTGTGTATGTGTATATAGGCTGAGAGACAGTGAGGGACAGCGGACAGAAAAATGGTCCAGGAGTAGGACCTGGGTTGGAATCCTGCCCAGGACACTTTCCAGCTCTGTGACCTTGGACGAGTCACTTAACTTGAGGCTCCCCTTCCTCATCTGTAAAATGATGGCGTTGGGCTAGATGAGCTCCGTGCTTCTCTTCAGATCTAGATCCAGGATCCCACCATCTCTCCATGAGGTCAGAGACTATCTCACTGTCTCTGTGTTCCTAAGACGCGGCATACAGTAGGCCCTTAAATACTTCAGCGACTGTAACATTTGACTTTCATCCCATGGTGACTGTGTTCCCAGGCCAGAACATCCTTCCCTGGTGACCACTCCTCTATACATATTGTCACCGCTTATTTAACACATAGTACGAGCTTGAGAATACTTTTTCATTCATTCATTCAAAATAATAATAGCGGGCTTTAAGCTGATGCTTTAAGGGTTCCAAAGAATCTCATTATGTACATTATACATATTGTCTCATCTGATCCCCTGAAAATCACCCTATGAGGTAGATAATCCAGATATTATCCAGCGGCATCTAGATGGCACAGTGGATAGAGCAATGGGCCCAGATTCTGGAAGACCTGAGTTCATATCTAGCCTCAGACTAGCTGTGTGACCCTGGAAAAGTCACTTAATGTCTGTTTGCCTCAGTTTACTCAACTGTAAAATGGGGTTGTTGTGAAGACCAAATGACATCAATAGTTGCAAAGTGCTTAACAGTGCCTAGCACATAGTAGGTGCTTAATAAGTGCTTATTTCCTTCCTTATTATCTCCATTTTACATTTGGCAAAATGCAGGCTCAGATAGGTTAAATTGGTTTGCCCAAGGTCGTATAGCTAGTAAGTGTGGGAGATGGAATTCAAACTTGGGTCTCTCCTGAGGCATGTTGACCACCTTACGGACTGCATCCTGCTTCCTGCCTGGTACTTACCTATGTTATTATTTTTATGAATCTGGTCACCATCTACAACTGCAGGATGAAGAAGACTGGAGGGTACCCAGTCACTTTTCTCGGAAAGCAATTTCTTTACTAACCTGAAATGCCAAAAAGAAATTAGGGAATCAGAGAATTAAAAAAAAATATGCTCGCCTTCTTCCTCCTTCTTATCACCTTTCATGTCTCCATACTCACCATTGTCCATTTTCTCCCTCCTGTACAAACTGCACCAAGTCACCATCCTCCAGGGTGAGAGAATCTGGGGAGCAGGTTTCATAACTGCCCTCTACTCGGAAAAGGCCGGACACCTGGAAGGAAAGGAACAGCTCACCTCAGAGAGCAGTTACTCAACCCAAAACAGGACACCTGAGTGGCTCAGAGGAGGGTGTGAATGGAAGGCCACTTAATGAGGAAGAGGAACAAGACAGTAACGAGAAAAGGGAAGAATCTCATCGTTCTGTGGGAAACCACAGCTTGGGCCCTGGGTCTGTGGGAGTGAACACAAGCCCTTGGACCTCCAATAAGGGGGAAAAGTGGATTTCTTTCCTCTCTCCCTCCACAACAACATCTCTCAGTGGCTTCACATGCATGGCAGCAATAATATGCCTGGGTGAGCTTGAGAGAGGACCTCACCATCCCTTCTGTTGTGTTTCTCTTGAGCTCCGGTCACTGATCATCAATTGTGAGAAAGGGATGTTTCCAGCCTTGATGGTAGCCTCTCGACTTTGTGATAGGAAAGAATTTCCACAAGGACTTCTCAGAGGAGAATGTGATCACTTCCAGGAGGAAGTTGATGTTGAAAGGATTGATAAAGCTCATTGAGATGTCTATTCAGCAAGTCCTCCAAAGTTGTCTGTCCCTCCTGATGGGAGGGGGAGGGGAGGCAGCTATGATAGGGTGATGACTTTTTATTTCATGCTCTAAGGATTTGTTAATGCACATTTTTGAGTCTTTTGTGTTTTGAACATTCCTTTTGGTAGTGAATAAATAAATAGCAATCTTCTCCATGCCTGAAAACTACTTTGTACACCGAGTATCCTTCCTAGAAGGGATCCTATTAATCCCTTTCAGGAAAGACCCTAGACACGAGCCACATCTACCACATGAGTAGTAGAGATGTTTCCCCAAACTCCAGGGTGGGATCAATGAGCTTTGGAATGAGAGGAAAGTTCAGCTCTCTCTCTTGAGGGGCCAGGCTCCCCAAGGCTGAATCTGGTCTTCCTGAACTCAGAGCTGGGGCTCTTCATTGGAGAGAAGAGCCAGCGACATGGATTGTTTCTTCTATTCATTCAGAACCTGATTTATAGGACAGGGGAAACTCTGGATATGGAGGTATAAAACTCTTCCTCAAGCCTGTGACAAATAACAAGGAATGGAATGATAGAAAAAATGTTGAATTTAGAGTCAGAGGAGCTGGGTTCAAATCGTGGCTTTGCTAATTATTACCCATGTGACCCTGGGCAAGTTAATCCACTACTGGGGCCAGTTTCCTTGTCTATAAAAAGAGACGGGTCAAACTAAATGTACAGTAGGGTCCCTGCTACCCATAAGCCTTTGATCCTATCACTCTGTGTTGGTTGTCCTTCAATACGCTGCCTCCCTTCCCCCCCCCCCAAAAAAAGAATTTCTAAGATGCCAATATAGAAAACATTCTGGTCAAGCAAGTGGAAGAAAATCATTATTTTATTTTTGGCAGAAGAGGGAGTGAAGGAGGAGGGTCGAAGCTGGGTGAGGGGAGCAGGCGGGGTTCCACGTTGGTCATGTAGGGGTACCCTGTCACTGAGTGATAAAAAGTGATAAAAAGCACCATACATGAACCTTCAAGAAATCTTGGGAGGTCAAAATCCAGAGTTGCAATATGGGGGGAAGGAGGGTTATTTCTGAAACGACTCTGGACTCAAGAAAAAAGTTTTCACTGTCTTTTTTTTTTTTTTTTAATAGACCAAGCTCTCTTAGGTCATTTGAAATAGAACTCAAATTAAAAAAAAAAGATTTAAATGGCACATTCAATCTTGCAGGTGCTCCCTTCTTACCTATCACAAAATATACCTGTAAAAACAACACATGTTCCAACATTCAGCCCTGTGTAAGTGACTAGATTCTGAACATGCTGAGGGAAAGGTCTGTATACTCATGCATCCAGTCTCTCTGTATGATGTAGTGGAAAGAAAGAAAGAGAACAAAAATCTTACATTATGGATTTGGATTTGGGGGAACTCGAGTTCATATTATGTTTTTGCTACTTATTAGCACTTATTATGTGCCCTTGGTATATTGTGCCCTTGTCTCTATGGGCATCAGTTTCCCCATCTGTACAAAGGAGGAGTTGAACTAGACCAGGGGCGGGGAACCTGCGGCCTCAAGGTCACACGTGGCCTTCTAGGTCCTTGGGTGCAGCCTTCTGACCGAGTCCAAGTTTTACAGAACAAATCCTTTTATTAAAGGGATTTGTTCTGTGAGGTTTGGATTCAGCCAAAGGGCCCCACTGGAGGACCTAGAGGGCAACGGGTGCTCTGGAGGCTGCAGGTCCTCCACCCCTGGACTGGACAGTCCCCAGCTCCTTTCCTGCTCAGATTCTCTCCAATTTATTCTCCACCATCCCACAAATGGATATTCTTAAAATGTTGGTCTGCTCACACCCCTCTCAGGCTCATGGGGCAGCTCCTACGGCCACCTCTTGCTCCTAGGATACCATGTTAACTGCTCTGCGTAAGCCCTTCAGAATCAGCCTTCCCGTGCAGGCTTACCACGTGCTATTCTACCCCCAAGCCTATGATCCCAGAACCCTGCCCACGTCGCTGGAAAGGTAGGAAAGGGCCAGGTGGCGAATGACTTGGAAGCTACAAAGAGGATCTCATGTGTGATTCTGGAGGTAATAAGAAGCCCTGGAGTTTACCAAGCAGGGAGGTAACATGGTTAAAGCTGTGCTTTTGGAAAATCACATTTGTAGCTGAATGGAGGATGGATTGGAGTGGGGAGGAACGTGAGGCAGAGGAGCAAGCGGTAGGCCAATGCTATAGTTTATGTACGTGGAGGGGGTGCAGCTGAAGGGGACAGAGAACAGACGTCCAAAAGGGGGACCTTCTGCTGAACGTCCTGTTCAACCTCTCCCTTCTGGACATTCTATGCTCTGGGTGTTGGGGAAGGCTGATGGCGTTACTCCTCCATCATACAGCTGGGGTGGAGGACTCAGAGCAGTAGGGTCACTTGCCAGAGCACACAGAGTTATCCCCACAGAGGAGCTAGGCTCAGATGTCCTGACACCCCGAGTAAAGCGCTGCCTTCCTGTGCTGCCTCACCCCTATGGCATTCTGGAGGCTAAGAGTAAGTTTGGTAGGGGCAATGATAAGACCACCGCCGTTGGGCGCTGATGAATCGAGGGGTGTGGGGCTACTCTAGCTTTACTACCTGGTTGGCCTTGGGCAAGCCAATCCCTTCTCTGCATCTCAGTTTCCCAATGGGTGAAATGAGGAACAGAGATTCCTTTAGCTCCAAGAGTGTGTGACCCTACAAACGTGAAGTTATGTACGACTCAAAAAGGAGTCTTTGAGGGACTGGGCTAGGATGGCATTTGTTCATTCATCAGGCTGGTCAAAGTCTTGGGATGCCAACTGCACCAGGCAAGGCAGTTTCTAATGGTGGCTGGGCCCTGCTTTCTTGGCCCCTCAAAAAGTCAGGGTCTGAGCTGGCTTGCAATCCACTAGGTAGACATCAGTCTTCTAGAGTTCTCTGATCCTGATAATACCTTCATCAGTAGTCAGTAAAGCACCAAGACTAGTAATAGGGACCGACTTTCCTAGAGCCCTTGAAGGCTTACAAAGCTCTTAGGAGCCGTTATCTCACAGGAACCTCACAATAGGGCCAGGACATATCCTTGCAGCCTTCCCCAAAAATTTAACAAGTGAGCAAACTAAGGCTTAAAGAGGTGAACTGACTTGCCCAGGGTCACACAGCTAGTAAGTATCAGAGGTAGGATTTGAACCCAGGTCTTCCTGACTCCAAGGCCAGCACCACAGTCATTGCCAAGAGATCATAGTCTTCCACCCAATTTTGTCCGGTTCCCGAGACAGGGTGGACGAACAGGGCCTGTCAAACTCTTGTTTAAGTGCCTTCGACTTAGCACAAGGGAAGAGAGACGGACAGTCACAGATATACACAGAGGAGACAAGCAAAAGAAGAGGGAAGGAAGGAAGGAAGGAAGGAAGCAAGGAAGGTGAGAGAAAGAGGGAGGGGGAAGAAGGAAGGGAAGACAGGAGGGAGGAAAGAAGGGAGTGAGAGAAGAAGGGAGGGAGGAGAGCAAGATGGAAAGAATGGAGGGAAGGAGGGAGGGGGGAAGGAAATAATGAATGGAGAGAGAGAGGGAGGTATGAAGAAGGGAAATAAAGAAGGAAGTATGGAAGGAAGGAACAGAGGGAGGAAGAAGGAAGGAAGAGAAGGAAAGAGGAAGGGAGGGAGGATAGATAATGAAGAATATAAGAAAAAGAAAGAAGGAGAACAAAATATTACATTATGGGTGCTGATGTCTTCTTCCATGTCTGAAGAGTTGGAGAGTTCATCTGTACTGGAGGGAATGACTTCAAAATCCTCAAAAGTATCCAGAGAAGGAAGCTGCCTGCTGGGCCAGCCTTGGCAAAAGAAAGAAAAGTGAAGAATGAAGTCAGAGAGCTTGCGGTGGGGTCACCTAGCAGAGGCCCTGCCAATGGCAGGCTGGCCGCCAGTTAATTCTGCTCCCTAGGAGCCAATTTCTGTCACCATCTGAAGTATCAAAAAGAAGTTGGACCAAATCATAACTAGCCCGTGCATTCTTTGATCTCTTTCTCTGTCTGTCTGTCTGTCTGTCTGTCTGTCTCTTTTTCTGTTTTCTCTCTCTGGCTCTGTCTTTCTGTCTCTGTCTCTCCTCCCAGAAATGAGAGGTGGAACAGATCACTATACTGCGGGCTATGAGGGGTGAGAAGGTTTCAGCCATGGAATGGGGCTTGACGTGGGTTTTAAAGTTTGAGGACAGCTCTGGTGAGCAGATAAGGAGAAAGGAGGAACACACCACCTCCTCCTCTCTCTCCGAGTCTCTGTCTTACAGGGAGGCATTCTCCTCGACCTCTCCGCAGCCTCTGACACTGCTGATCACTCTCTCCTCCTTGATGCCCTTTTCTCTCTAGGTTTTCCGAACACGGAACTCTCCTGCTTGTCTTCCTACTCTATCTGACTGTTCCTCCTCTGTTTCCTTTGCTAGATCTCTTCCAGACCATGTGCTCCAAGTGTCTCAAGGTGCTGTCCTGGGCCCTCTTCTCTTCTCCCTCTATATTACTACATTTGGTAATTTCATCAGCTCCCATGGATTTAATTACAATCTCTATGCTGACAGTTCTAAAATCTACCTATCCTGCCCCAAACTCTCTTTTGTGGTTGTTGTTGTCGAGTTGTGTCCGACTCTTTGTGACCCCATCTGGAGTGGTTTGCCATTTCTTTCTCCGGCTCATTTTACAGATGAGGAAATTGAGGCAAACAAGGTTAAGTGACTTGCCCAGGGTCACCCAGCTACTAAGTGTCTGAGGCCAGATTTGAACTCAAGAAGATGAGTGTTCCTGACTTCAGGCACAGCTCTCTATGTACTATGGAGCTCTACTGTACTTTAATAAATGTTTATTGATTGACTGAGAAAAGGATGGATGCTGAGGTGTCGAGGAAGAAGAATCAATAAGACTGGACAACTGGGGGCAGCTAGGTGGTACAGTGAATAGAGCACCGGCCCTGGAGTCAGCAGGACCTGAGTTCAAATCCAGCCTCAGACCAAACACTTGACACTTACTAGCTGTGTGACCCTGGGCAAGTCATCTAACCCCAATTGCCTGAAAAAAAAAATAAGACTGGACAATTGATCGAATATGGGGGGTAAGAATGAAGACCCTTTGTTTTCACCTGAGTGATGGTGCCCTTGATGGACACAGAGAAATTAGGAGGAGGAAAGATAAGGAGTTTGTTTTTGTATTCATTGAGCTCGAGGAGTCTTTGGGGCAGCCAGCTGACAAACGTATAGCAGGCAAGTGGTAATGTAGGGATAGATCAATGGGAGAGGGATGAGGGATGGGTATGGGGATCTGGGTGGCATCTGCACAGACATGGTGGTTGGGTCCATTATGAGCTCACTGAGAGAAAGAGGATAAAGAGGCGGAGAGGAGACAGGACCTCTTACCTGTCTGGGAGGCAGATCTGGGTACCGTTCTTGTGGTGGGCCTGCCACTGCATTTGCCCTGGGCCAGGATGGAATTCTCAAAAGCATCTGAGACAGGAAGTAGACTTTGTTTGTAATGGAAATCCTTCAGGAAAAAAAGAAAGAAAGAAAAGAAAAAGAAACAAACCCCCAGAAAACCAAATACAAATTCACAAACCCCTGTGAAATAATCAACTTTGCCACACCAACTTTTAAAATTGAGTTGACTTCCTGGAAAGGTGCTTGTGGGAAGGAGTAGGATCCCTCCCAACCTCCAGACACATGCTAAAAAACAAAACGAAACAAAACAAAACAAAAAAACAACATGCCAGGCCTTCGGAGCTCTGAGGCATTCACAAACACAAACATCTGGGTGGAGAAACAAGGGAAGGTGTTAGGTGGTAAACGCTGACCTCAAAACACACAACAATGACAAATGAAGCAGTGTTCTCTGTCTTTCTCTCTCCTTGACCTACCTTCACTCTAGACAAAGCCACATACACTTTACAAGGTTCAGGTATTTTGGATTGAGATACTAACAATCTGGGGTGCTGGAGGTTACCAATACCAAACCAGTGAACTCAAATTTGACCAATTAGGAAAAGTTTTATAAGTAGATCGAGGTCTGGGGTGGGGTGGTGGGGAGAGAAATCACAGCAAAAACGGTTACTCTGCTTTACGTTTGGCCCTTCCCACTTCTGTCAGCTAGATGGCCCAATGGGACCATTTTAAGTCAACAGATCAGCATGAATGCTTCTTTCTTTGTCTACCCTGTGCATCAGCTTCAATCAGGGAAGCTAGGTTTTTATCCCATTAGACTTTGAGCTCCCTGAGAGCAGGGTCTTTACTTTTTGTTTCGTTTTAACTTTCTTTGTCTCTCCAGCATTTAGCACAGTGCCCAACAATATAGAAGATGCTTAAATGCTAGCTGTTTCACTCAGTTTCAATACACAGTTATACTTTGGACACAAGTATTAAACAAGAGGTAGAAGAATGATAAGTTACCAAGCTCCTCACCTAGGCTTGAAAGAACCCCATAAACATCATTAAGCAGATGGTCCAGTGGGCACTCTCCCTCACCCACATGGTATAAGGGATCTCTGCCACTCTGGTGGGAGGGATGGGGGTTTGGTGAAAGGAGACAAATGGAGGCCGGGAAGACTCTTTGTACATGGGAGTTTAAGGAGGATAGTGGGCATTGAATGCTTCTTGAACACGGTTCCTAAGTTGCGATGATTTGGAGGAATTAGTACCATCCATCCAGCCTCTGCCGCCTACCAACCTTGCCTGCACCCCAGCCAACTCCCTATTAAAGAATGTGATGGCATTGATCTACAATCTATGGTCTTATTTGAAGTGAGAACAACTTCCAGTTCATGAGAATGCCAGGTGGGCAGACCCTGAGGTTGACCAGTTCATTGGAAAGTTTCCCTCTGCACACAAGTGAATGAAAGAAAAACATCAGAAATCCAGAACAAAACATGTGGCCCCTTCTTCCTCCCTCCCCACCACCCGCCCGCAGCAGGTATGATCATTTGGAAACAGACAGGACTGGAGACACCCAGATGTCTATCACCCAGCCCGGAGCTTGCCATGGCCGGCTGACAAGGAGAGAAGGGACATGCACAACCTCAGTTGATCCTCGGGGCACAGGCAAGGGTGGGGAGGCTTCATGCAGTATATCATGCATGTACCTTCAAACCCAAGTGGTGTTGGGTCACTCTTTATTTCATGTCTCTTGACTTTAACTGCAGGACCTAGAGGACCTGTAGGAAGTTTAAGGATGCAGAAGAATTTCAGTACAAGAGGGTGCCTATGTATATTATCCTGTTTTCCTGGTCAGACAGAAGGGAGAGGCATCCTAAGGTTCTGAGTCCCCACAGCGCCCCTGGGATGGAGGTGGAGGCCAAGCATTCCGCCAAGCTCGAGCCAGGATCACAGACCACATCTCCTGACTTTGTGATTCTCCTTCTGTCTTTCGGACTGCTCCTTCTCCATTTCCTGCTCCCTAATCACGGGACCTCTCCTCTTCACATTAACTTCCTATCCAATTCAGTCAAGCTGACCTACTGACTTGGCATCCCATGCCCACCTGCACACCATGAGGTGGTCCTTCCCTCCTGCTCAGAATACCCCCTCCTCTCCTCTACCAGCAGGTCATTTCTAACCACTACACATTCTTTCAGCCCCAGGAAGAGCCTCTTACTGGACCAGAAACCTCAAACTTACATAGAGGGTCTGGCTGCTGGTTGGCTATTTCCTCATTTCGAACATGATCCACTTTCAATCATGTTTATCTGGGCCTTTTTCAGTCTCCCATGCCTGAAACTCTTCCCTTCCTTGCTTCTCCTTCATGGCTTTCTTGGCTTCCTCAGAGAGAAGCCTTATTCTTAGTGCCTTCCTTCCGAGATTATCTCCAAACTTATCCTGAATGTATCTTATTTTGTACATAGCTATTTGTATGCTGTCTCTCCCATTTGACTGTGAGCTCCTTGAGGGCAGGGACTATCTCTGAATCCCCAGGGTTTAGCATAGTGCCAGGCACATGCTGTTGCTAAGTCATTTCAGTCGTGCCCAACTCTTCGTGACCTCATTTAGGGTTTTCTTGCCAAAGATACTGGAGTAGTTTGCCATTTCCTTCTCTAGATCATTTTACAGAGGAGGAAACTGAGGCAATCAGGATTAGGAGATTTGCCCTGGGTCACCTAGCTAGTAAGAGTCTGAGGTTGAATTTGAACTCAGGTCCTCCTGATTCCAGGTCCACCTGGCACATCGTAGGTGCTGGATAAATGCCTGTTGACTTACTTATCCGTCTGAGGGGTCAGGTACATGTACAAAGCTGGCAAGAGGACTCAGGACTAGGGAGGAAGTACATTGGGGAGGCTAGTAAATTAGATGCTTGTTAAGTCAAGGATGTTTGTGATTTCATTCCCATCTCAAAGCCTCTCAGTGTGGAGCCCCGAGGACGTGACAGAGACATTTGCAAGTTAACTGACTCCCTGGAGACAAAGGGAAGTGAAAGGAGACATCACTAGCCTGATTTTACAGATTGGCCTGGCAAAAATCTCACCCCTGCCATCATCAAGGATGGAGCAGAGTTGGGGCTGCAGCTTACATGTCCTGATCGTCAGGCCAGTGTCCTCAGAATGTCGGACTGGGAGGAGGAGGGGATCTTTGTTCCTGGACTGGAGGGGACCACAGAGGCCAGTGTAATCCAACCCCTTGATTTTACAGAGGAAGAAACTGAGGTCCATGATGGTGAAGGGGCTTGTCCAAAGTCACACGCGGAGGATCTTAGATTTAGACCAGATTTAGTCTAACTCCCATCCTTTTACAGATGAGGAAACTGAGGCCCACAGAGGGGAACAACTTGACCAAGGTCACTTGGGCTTTAAGAGGGCAGAGCCAGTATTAGAACCTGGATCCTCTGACTTCAGTGCCCCAGCATTCTCTCAAATCACGTTCTCTCTGTACTTGCTGAGACCCTTTATTCAGAGATGTCGGGGTGGGGGTGGGGGTTGAGGGCTTGGCAATCTATTGTTGGCTAGAGCTGCAGGTGAGCTTCCTATTAATGCTGAAAACCCCATCTGGTGCAGGGGTGGGGCGCAGGGTTCCTTAGGTGTGGCCTTTTATTGAGTCCAAGTTTTACAGAACAAATCCTTTTATTAAAAGGATTTGTTCTGTGAAGTTTGGATTCAGTCAAAGGGCAGCACTTGAGGACCTAGAGGGTCACACGTGGCCTCGAGACTACAGATTCCCCACCCCGATGGTGGAATCAGCCTAACCCCTCTGAAGGGTTTCTAAGAAAACGAGTAGCCCCTCATTCATCCCTCTCTAGGTCGGACCTCTCAGAGATTGCCACTGAGTTTCTACCCATGAGTCTCTCTAACGACTCCCCTTCCCCTCCCACCTTTTCAGGTCCCCTTTGGAATGTGAGCTCCTCAGGGCAGGAAATGTCTTATTTGCTGTATCCCTAAAGCTTAGCACAGCGCCTGAACATAAGTATTCAATAAATGCTCTATCTCTCATCTCTCTATATCTGAGCATAATGTCCAATACAGAGTAATGCTCAATAAATATTCTTTCTACCTATATCATCTGTCTAGATAGCTATCATTTATCTACAATCAGTCTGGATCTATTTACGTATCTATCAGCTTTTTCTATCAGTCAACAAGCAATTATCAGTCATCTATCTCTCTTCTATCATTTATCACCTATCTAGCTAGTAATTGCCTTTCTCTTTCTATCCATTTGTCATTTATCTATGTATCTATTTATGTATCTATCTATATCTATCCATTCGCCTATATATGCAACTATCTCTCCATCCATCCATCCATCTATCCATCCATCCATCCATCCATCCATCCATCCATCCATCCATCCATC